ATGTTGAAGGTGTCTGAATATATTTTGGTTTGACTGTATCTATTTGATAAATGAAGTTAACCAACTAACATTATACATACCCTTTTGGTTTCTGTACCCAATATTTAAAAAATTTACAAATGTAATAAAAATATAGGTATCGGCATCGGTATCGGCAAGTACCAAAAATAAAAGTATCGGTATCGGGCGAGTACTGGAAAAAGTGGTATCGGTGCATCCCTAAATGCATATCTTCCATGGTTCCTGCTACCTGCCCCCACAAGTCTGGAAAAGAAATGTGGCCACCCAACTAATTGCGCTGACTAATAATTTTTGCAGTGAGCTCCTCATTAGCTTCTAACATAAGGGCTTTTTCCCATGGCTGAGTCAAGTTCTAGTAAAATGAGATCACCTGGTTCCAGGAATCACCAAGGCCCACACACAAAGCCCAGAGTTCTTGTGTGAGAACTGCCTCTAAAAGTCATTAAGTCGAATAGGTTCAATGAGAAGACTCTAATAGTCAATTAGAACATTCCAGAATAGAATGGATAAATGATGTAGAAAGGAAGTACTCAGTAGCCTGAGGCTGCAGGTTAAGAGACCGCAGTTAAATAGTCAATCTGTGTGACTGCTTAAAATGCATTAACGCTCAGCAAATAAACCTGGTTGCTGAAGCCTTGTAGCCTACGTGCTATTTTTTAAAAATCAGGTTGAAAATAATGTTAGTTATAAATTTAGATCAGTACTATATACTTAATAAATAAGAGTTTAAATTAGTAGTAATATGGCAGCGGTAGCACTGCTTGCTTTTGCAAAACTTGCTGTCACAATGTTAAGTTGTGTGAAGTTTCCAGGATGCTATGTGGTTGCTAAGGTGTTTTGAATGGTTTTTAGGTGGATGTTTACTGGTCCAAGCCAATAGAGCTCGTGCCTAAAGGCGAAATCACAGCAAAATTCCAGAACATTTTGGCAGACAAAAAGGTCCATTGTTCACAGTCAATATGCACTCTTGAATCTGAAGTTACCGTTTGCTGATGTAGCGAGTTTGCGTGAAAAACTTGAATGAGAAATCTGCATGGGTGAATTCCAAATCGCACCGATTTTCCTATTAAATTAACTGTATTTTAACTGTGAAATTTTAGTGAGCAACAGTAAATGTGATCATACCTTTATATTCTCGGTTATTTAGGTCATTAAAGTCTTTTGCCCGTTTTATTGTATGCCGGACGTAAAATCTTAAGTCAGATATGAGTTACAGATCCTGGCCCTGCAAGAGAAAGTCAGGGATGATCTGAAGCAGAGGTTAACAGGAAGTTCTGAAAGACCACTATTTTTTAAAGCAAATTTATTCTATTTGCAACACTTTTTCTGCTGCTTTGTAATGATTAAATTAAACATTTTAATAGTATCAATTGTGATTCTAATTCATATTGTTATACTGTCCTTTTATGAGATAACCTTGAACATACAAAGCCACCATAGCCACACTGAGATTAAATCATTCATAACAATGCCAAGAATGCTGGGAAGCGATTTCCTAGAGCATGCTCTACTTCCATAGACTTCCTTGTGAACCCCACCTCTGTTAACCAATTAAACAGGAAAGCTGAACAGGACCTAGAGAGTGTGTGTGTTTTTGTTCAGCCTTTCATGTGCCATTTTTGTACTGTGGGAGGCTGATTCCTGATTCTGGGTAAAGATAGCAGAGAATTATTCAGGAAGGGCGGGAAAGACAAGGAGGGAAAAGTGGGAAAGTATCTATACACTAATAACTTTCAGAGTGGTTCAGCGAAAGTTCAGTTCTAGTTGTGCAAGTCCAAAGTTAGGTTTATTATATAAAAGCTTTGAGTATAATGTTTTGGCGTGTGAAATTTCAATATATTCATTCATGTGTTAGCAATATGGAGTAAAAGTAACATTAGTTAAATGCAATGAACGTCTCCAATGAAACTGCTTGTGAATTTAACTTTTTCAAGAAATTTACTGTACATACATTAGCATATAGATGCCCCCAAGCATATGGACTAAAAACCACAAAGCACTAATTTACAATCCTAAATAACTGTTAAGGATGCATATTCACCTTAATATAGTATACTATCTTATGCCTATGTTCTGGAACAAGAGCATAGAAAACCTAAGTATAGCAAAACATCATGTAAGGGTAATGGTCTTTAGGGGTAACTGTGTATCAGTCTATTATTTTATTTGATCTGACATTTTCAGATCAGAAACATCAAACGCGATTAAAGAACGGAGGAATCAAACATCCCTGATGGACCTCAAAAGCCTTGCTTCAGACCCAGATTAAGCCTCACCGTGGACTGCAGAACTATCACAACAAAGATGCCCTACTTACAGTACTTTAGCAGTAAGGAATTCAGTTTTGTTAGAATCACACGGGCTCATCTGTAAAATAAACGTCTTGCTGGTCAAAACAAAACAATCAAGAGCCAACTAGATTCCTCTTTGACTTGAACTGAACTTGCTTAAAGTATATGCTCTCTGCCAAGATGAAACATAATAAAAAAAAAGAAGACCGTAAGACTGAACAGATAAAAACAAAAAACAAAAAGTTTAACCATAAATTATACTTCTTTGGTGTAACAATTTTGAAGAATTGTACTGGTCGGTCTTTTTCATTTAATTGGTCCCAATGTGTATGAGGCTTTCACGCTGCAAAATGGATGCAAAAGCACCATAAAGAATCAAAAGTGGTCCATGACACTATACTTCACTATACTTCAAGGAAGTTTCTGAAGCCATATGACAGCGCATGATAGAAACAAACTAAACTTGAAGTCATTATTTACTGAATTCTTCAGTAAACCATTAAATGTTGTGAACAGATCATTGAGTCAGTGTTGAACTCAAGAACCAGATCAGTCCAACTCATGAATTAATGATTCAGATAAGTTTTGAGTGCAGAAAACAAAAGAACAGAAATTCTTTGTCCAATCACATAAACTCTCATGTTTGAGATCAATGGCTTTCTTGCTTGTACGCCATCATATGGTTTCAGAAGACATGGAAACTAGCTCAAGAGTCGTACAGACCATTTTTATGATGCTTTGACACTTAAAATATTCGAGTTTGTTATTATCAACTAAATTTTATTGCATGGAAAAGAGCAACTGGCGCATTATTCAAAATTTCTACTTTTGTGTCCCACGACCCATTAGATGTATATTGTTTAAGTGTATATAAACCAAAAAACATGCTGTATAGTGCATGCCAGCTAAATGTTTGTTGAAAAAAGGTAAAGTGCAGAGTGTAGAGATGGCTAGACCAAATTGAAGGAGAAGCTAAACATCTGGTGGACACTTAAACAGAAACAACACACACACTTTGTGAAATAACAGGCTTTGGCCTGAAAGGCATCCACACACTGTCACTGAAATATGTGCATTCAGGGCAAATCAAAACACACGTCGACTTCCACTTCAAAAGAAGTGCAGAAAAAAATTTAATCCTGAACAAATTACAGAAATGTAGATCTGTCAGTCATTTATGCAGGAAAAGATGCTTAAGTGATCGAGAATACAAAGAGCTATTCAAACACTAAAACTGATTCAATGGGCTTCCTGTGAAGGAAAGCTTAGCCATACATAAAATCAGATTTGTTTTCAATATGTAAATAACCCAATAAAGCTCAAGGTTGGGTCAATAGCCGACAGTTAAAATTGTGCATCGTCAGCAGCTATTGAGCCAAAGGCTTGTGTTCAATAGGAGGGCTGGCTCACCACTCCTGTGGGATCCTATCTTTCAATTAATAGGGCCAGTAAAGAAGAGGAGGAGAGAGCAGGAACTTTATTACGATCGTTCTGAACTTGTACAGAAAGCTGAGACAGTGGGTGTTTACCTTTGTTTCTCCTTAGTAAATGTGATGATCAAAAAGGAAGGAAAAAGACAAAATACATGCAAGTGGAAGTACTCAGAAGTACTCAAAATGCTCTTTTAAATGATGTTGTTGAACATAATAAATGCTGTACTCTTTCAATGCTTTAAATAACCTAAAATGTAAATAGTTAAACTCTTTCTGGCAACCCTATTAATAATATACAGCATCCTGAAAAGGAGGCATTAAAACAAGTATGTGGCCATTAAAAAAAAAAGGCAACACACTCTCAGAACTATGGCAAGAAAAGCTCAAAAGCAATTTTTGGCATTTCTCAAACCTTCTCAATTTCCCGAGCCTTGGCAGCAATAGCTTGAGCTCGTCGCTCTTGAAAGTCGTCCATGACAGAGGAAGCTTCATCTACGGTGGGTGGAACTTCATCTGTGGGCCCTTCCACCGTTGTCATGTCCTCCTGCAGTACACAGGACAAGGCGCTTTTAAAGGCTAGATTAATCCAGAAACATGTTCAGAGTAAAACACCCCAACAAATGCTGGAAATCAACATTCAGGAAAGTCCTGTTTTCTCCAAAACAGAAAAGAGGCAATGCAGAACAACGTCATTGCATGACAGAATGGAAACAAGTCTGAAAAAAAAGTCTAACAAGTTGGCTCTGTCTATTTAGATCTACGACTTGGAACTACTTGGATACTTTTTGTCAAAAAAAAAAAATGAATTGCCTAACACTAATTAACCAAACTCAAACTAATAACAATCATTTGATCTAAGTGGGGATAGAAATATATTTAAGACGACCTGCAAAGGCATTACAAACAAATTTGAGCCCACCGCAGCAAAATCATCTGTTCTTTGTTCTTCAAAGAATGAATCCCCAAAACAAGTGTGTTTGTTGAACTTAAGAGACCGCCTATCAGGCCGAGTTTACACTGGCAAAGCCTTTTCATCTAAGGCACAAGGTTATGGCTTATGCCCCATGAACAGAGCTATGGAAGAAGATCAAAGGCTGAAGGACCGAGACGTCCACCAACCAGAACAACTTTCATCTGTACATGGTTCAGAGGTGAATCTAAGTGATCAAACAAAAGAAACTCACACAGACTCTTTAAGGCATTTCATGTTGTGTTGGCTTGAAACTGAAGCTTGATTCAAGCATGCTTGAATCAAAACAATGATTGAGTACTGGGACAAAACAAAAAACAAAACTGAAATATTAAAAAAATTATTTGTGTATGTAATCGTATATGTTTGGGTGCAACCTCCCACTTCTGTTTCATCAAAATGTGTTTTTCCTTTCCTATCACTTAATATGGGTCACCATCAAATACAAAAACAATGTGTTAAATATCTATCAGTTTATATATTAAAAATTTATATATTCATAATAACTTTATATTTATTATAAATGGTAAGATTTTATTATAACACAATTTATATATAAATATTACGGTGAAGCATTGCTGCCACACATTATTTTTTCCACTCAATTATGTCGTAATAACGAGATGTTATGTCGTTTTAACGACATCTTTTCTCGTTAAAACGACATCTTTTCTCGTAATAACGAGATGTTTTCTCGTTAAAACGACATCTTTTCTCGTAATAACGAGATGTTTTCTCGTTAAAACGACATCTTTTCTCGTAATAACGAGATGTTTTCTCGTTAAAACGACATCTTTTCTCGTAATAACGAGATGTTTTCTCGTTAAAACGACATCTTTTCTCGTAATAACGAGATGTTTTCTCGTTAAAACGACATCTTTTCTCGTAATAACGAGATGTTTTCTCGTTAAAACGACATCTTTTCTCGTAATAACGAGATGTTTTCTCGTTAAAACGACATCTTTTCTCGTAATAACGAGATGTTTTCTCGTTAAAACGACATCTTTTCTCGTAATAACGAGATGTTTTCTCGTTAAAACGACATCTTTTCTCGTAATAACGAGATGTTTTCTCGTTAAAACGACATCTTTTCTCGTAATAACGAGATGTTTTCTCGTTAAAACGACATCTTTTCTCGTAATAACGAGATGTTTTCTCGTTAAAACGACATCTTTTCTCGTTAAAATGACATTTTTTCTCGTAATAAGACATATTATGTCATAAAAACGACGTGTTTTCCGTTATTATAGATATGGTACATTATGTGAGCGAGCTGTTTCTTCAAACTGTCTGGCTGTTGTATAGGCTATATTTCTTGCAAATATACATCTCATATGAAGCACAACACTGCTCTTCTCGGTTCGGTGGCGCCGGCGCGATCCCTTAGGCTACACTATAACAGAGGAAAGAAATGTCTGCTTTATTTTCTATACTTCCACAATAACAACAAAACGTTACAAATTGCTTTTGTAAAATAACAGGGAGCGCTTTCTGGCGCACCTTGTTATGTCTAAAGGTCTAGGCTACTTGAATAAAACAATTGAAAACAAATTTATGTTTATTTAATTCGAATAGCCTAAATCCAACAAGAGGTACTGTACAGACTTTCCCGTCTGAGCTCATCTGTATTCCCATAAGAAGAACACGATGCAATGCGAGGCTTGATTCAGCTAAATATATCCTTTAATAATATATAATCACTAATACATAATTAATATATAATCAGACTAAAGTATCAAAGCTGCCCACGCATGTGAAACAAATATTAAAGCATAAGCTCATTTGTTTACCCACGAACAAAAACAGGCCTACAAAAAAATCTAGCTTAATTTTCGTTTGCTCGTTTTCAAACACAACGAAATAATAATAATAATAATAATTATTATTATTATTATTATTGTTAGGCTATTATTATTATTATTATTGTTAGGCTATTATTATTATTATTATTATTAGCCTATTAGAAAATCTCTTTATTTATTTTTATTCCTATTTCGATTTATTAGAATTTTTTGCGGGCAGCTATTGGTAGCCAGTGCAAATTGATAAACAGAGGTGTGACCTGCTTTTTTCCGGCTCCTTAAAATTAATCTTGCTGCTGCTTTCTGGATTAATTGTAAAGGTTTGATAGAACTGGCTGGAAGACTTGCCAAGAGAGCATTGCAATAGTCCAGCCTGGACAGAACAAGTGCTTGAACAAGGAGTTGTGAAGCATGTTCTGAAAGAAATTGCCTGATCTTCTTGATGTTGAATAAAGTGGGCAGTTTTAGCAATGTGGTCTGAGAAAGTCAGCTGATCATCAATCATAACTCCAAGGTTTCTGGCTGTTTTTGAAGGAGTTATGGTTGATGTGCCTAACTGGATGGTGAAATTGTGATGAAACGATGGGTTTGCTGGAACCACAAGCAGTTCCTTCTTGGCAAGGTTGAGTTGAAGATAATGGACCTTCATCCAGCAAGAAATGTCTGTTAGACAAGCTGAGATGCGAGCAGCTATCGTCGGATCATCAGGATGGAATGAGAGGTAGAGTTGAGTGTCATCAGCATAATTAAAAGCAATATTATTATCAGCATTATTTAAAGTCAAAGCCTTTTGTTCAGTATACTGAATATATATAAATAGATAAATAAATACTTAGTGCCTGAAAGAGTATCCAAAATAATTACAATGCCAGGTGTAACGCTGCAGAAAATGAAGCCAAGTGAGTCTAAATATTATGACATGCTGTAATATGTCATGTGCTTAATTGCTTTCAACAACATTTGTATTGATATCAAAATTTGCATGGCAAGCCACCCAACAAATATTGCCCTTCTAGTGGAAAGCGTTCACAGTGAGTTGCTCGGTGGTGTGGTCCATTGGGCTTTAATAAGCGCACTTCAGCACGGATGCTGTGAAAAGAGCACTTGAATTCAGTGGAGAGTTCCCATAACTTCAGTTGTCATTAATGACACAGAAGTCATTTTCAGCTTCATTCATTCCAACTGATCCGTCTATAGTTTTCTCATTCTGAGATGCTTTGCGTTGGGGTCCTGATCACCCTGTCAGGATTTATTCTGCAATAACAACCGAGTGAATGTACATTATCCCTTACTTAACAATTAGTTTAATTGTTAACTTATATCATGTCAGATTGCACTCAGACATGCATGCATTGCTCTTAGCAAACAGTTGCCTCTCACACACGCATAAGTAAACACATTATACTCTTTTAGATTGACGTACAGAATAACTCTGAAGTCATTCAACAGACTATTCAAAAAGACATTAAGAACAAAATAGCGCATCTCACAAGACACAAACCCAAGCACTTCACTAACCGCGCTCGAAATAGCAAAATTTTTTCCCTTCATGCAGCGTCTCCCAAATACGATTGGCGGGGTGATTGAACTGTGTAATTAGCTGTAATTAACAGTCATTAGGGTTGTTAAAGGTCCCCCATCAGGCCTCAGGCGCAGGTGTGGGGTTTCGCCATGATTTAATGCCTCCAAAACAGCTTTTGAAACCCTTGTCATTATAGTACAGTTATCCAACTGTAAGCCAAGTTTGCTGAAGTAAGTATCATTGTTACTACTGTGCATGTAGGATTCTTAATTGAACAATCCCCTAACTGTAAAGTCACATTAGCATGTGAAATTTAATACAAAAAATATCCATTGTCTATTGTCAATAGTGTAGCCATGTATGAAGCACTTTCAAACCAAACAGCTTTTTGTAGGTCAACGTGCATAAACAACTTGAACACAAGCACAATCTGAAAGGGGAAATCTTTTGCCCTCACACAAAATTCCCACTCACATGTATTCCTATTGTACGGAGCCCGGGAAGTCACCTGTAGGAGAAAAAAAAACAATCCGTGGCGACGGTTTTGCAATCCGTCCCCTCAGTTTATAAACCGTACTCACGAATTCTTAAACTGTTCCTTCGGTTTAACAAATCGTGCCCACGGATTAATAAACCGTACCCACGAATTTCCAATCCGTGCGCTCAGATTTTGTAAACCGTACCTTCGATTTTTGAATCCGTACCCACAAATTCATAATCCCTTTCGCAATTTTCGCAATCCGTTCCCTCGGGTTTGTAAACTCGTGGATTTGTGGCCCCGCCCCCACCGGCCACGGTGCGATCCGCACTCACAAAATAGTCTTCTTTTTAGCATTTCTTTTATATTAATCACCAATAGGATAAAACACCGCCGCCTGTGTTTTATAGCCTAAAATAAACGCTAAGAAGAAGAATAGAAAATTTCCTGAATTTTCTAAAAAAACGATAGAGTTTCAAGAGAGAAGGCGGCAAAAAGCAATACAAAACCAATAATGTACCGGTTATGTTGTCATTCCTTTGCTCTCTAACTGAATGCAATGTTATAATAGGCCTAGTTATTTAATAATAACTTTAACAGTGAAGCATCGAACTCTGGGGGGAAAAGCTTAGTATAATAAAATCACCTAAATAAGTATGTGAATGAATGAATGAATGAAATATGTTAAGAATGAATAGTACACAAACACATTTCCAAAACGGTAGGTGTTTTAAAAATAAAGCATTCATTAATTATTTTATGACAAATATTTCACTGTCTTAAGTGCACTCCATGAGTTTACAAACCCGAGGGAACGGATTGCGAAAGCGTGCGCACGGATTATGAATTTGTGGGTACGGATTCAAAAACCGAAAGTACGGTTTACAAAATCTGAGCGCAGGGATCGGAAATTCGTGGGTACGGTTTATTAATCCGTGGGCACGATTTGTTAAACCGAGGGAACAGTTTAAGAATTCGTGAGTACGGTTTATAAACTGAGGGGACGGATTGCAAAACCGTCGCCACGGATTGTTTTTTTTTCTCCTACAGGTTACTTCCCGGGCTCCGTATTAAACACTCAGATGGGTCACCATTAAAAAAAAAAACTATTGCTTACTATTACAAAGTCAGAGCAGGATGATTGGATAAGCATAAGAGACTGAGAGAGTGTGATGTCGTTTTAACGAGAAAAGATGTCGTTTTAACGAGAAAAAATGTCGTTAAAACGAGAAAAGATGTCGTTTTAACGAGAAAAGATGTCGTTAAAACGACATAACATCTCGTTATTACGACATAATTGAGTGGAAAAAATTATATGTGTGCGGCAGCAATGCGTCACCGTAAAATATAATGTTAATATACAAATAATCTTTTATAATTTATAATAGATACATTTTATTTATAAAATGTCATTATTTCATTTATAAAATTTTATTATAGAGATTTTATATAAAAAGATTTTAGAAATATTTTTGAACATCACACATTTACAATACACCGTTTCATTTTTCTGGTGTTGCTAACTATTTATTCTACCTACTTAAAACGATTAAAAATCCTGGACAATTTCTTTACAATTTGGGTGACAGAGCTGACATATTACATTTGTGACACTTAAAATGCACACACAATTACCTATTATTAAATTATAAAAAAACAAAAACTATAAACTAAACTTAAAAATAAATTATTTTTTCTCAAGCTTTTTAAGTAAGGAAAGCCAATGTCTTGGGAATCAGTGAAAGAACTAGTTTGCATTACAAATAAAATACTAAAATATTCACAGAGGAGAGTCAAATTAAATTAATTATTTTCTTTTCTTTTCTTTTTTCTTTTATTTATTTATTTTATTTTATTTAAAAAATCTGCAAAATATTTTTGTATGTTCACCATGATTATTCTCAGATTCGATTCACCTAAACACAAAAAAAAGGAAAAAGAAGAGAGTACATGAGAGAAACAGCTAAACCAAATTATTTTAGGCTCTCAGTGCTCCCTAGAGTATGTCCAGAGTGCTCCGAGCCTCCGATAAGATCTTGCGATAACGCTGAGAGTTGAGTTAATGGATTTCTCCCTATTTTTTTTAGCCTTGCTGCGGCTTGGGTGGCCCAATGATGTCCATGACTCTCCTTCAGCGACCCGCGTAGTTTTGTGTCAGTACCGTGCTTACAGTCTGAATAAACACGTCACGGGCCGCTTGCCTTTCATACGCCAAACAGGACCCTTTAAAACCCATCATATGGGAGAGAGGAAAGCGCAAGCAAATAGCTTTTTAAAAAGAAGGAAAAAATCTCCCGTTTTTTCACCATCAGCTGAAATTGCTGGCATGCCACACTTATTATTATTTTAGCGGATGAAAGGGAGTGTTCTGGTAAGCACATCTGTTTGGGTGCTGTGCGTGTGTGCGACTCACCTTAGTGGCTGATACGGAGCTATGGGGCGAACCATCTCGTGATGCACTCACGGAGGGGCCGGGGGGCCTTTCCCTGTCTGTAGAAGATGAAAGACTGGGATCAGAACACAAGAAACAAAGCATCTGTTGTAGGACGCAAGCCAACAATGCAGCTATAGTTTGGACATGGCTCAACATCCCCCAGAAAGCCACGGAATATGGCCTTGCTTGACTCATTTGGTGCCATAAACGTTTTCACATGCTGGAACGGATCTTGCTCACTTTCCGAACATCCAGCTGGCATGCAGAACCAGGTGGTTCCCTCGCTGCCGATCAGGGCTCTTCCCTGCAGGCAAACCACAGCCAGGTGCCTGCAGTGTCACCCCGTGACCTTCTCCGTGTGAGCTGTAGGCTCAACACCTACGGATTCTTTCGGCGAGAGATGAAGGAATGCTCGCTAAATTGATTTGGAGTGGAGAGAAGCCTATAACCAGAAGTTATGTTTAGATTTACACCGATTTAAGATTCCAATCTAAATCTCCTTGCGACGGAATGCATGCACATCAAACATCTGGCAAAGAAAAGCAAAAAGGGAACGGATGAAAGCTAGAGAAAAAGGAAAGGTTTAGCAATCAGACACACTCCTGTGGACTTTTTACGATCCCCGGCCAAAGGAAGTGAGAGGAAAGCAGACAAACAAAATGAGGCTCTACGATGGTGCGATTAGCAACGCTTTCTCTCAAGTTACTGTGACTGTGGGCTGACCTTTAACTTATAAAGCAAAGCGAAACAAAATCTCCTTGTGTGTGAGCCATAAACTTTCTTTATCAGGATTTAAGAGGAATATGATTTTTCTTCATGTTTTGGTTTCCAAAATATTCATATAAAATGGTACCCTGGTGACTGAATACCTAGGTACACTAACATTCAAAAGTTTGGGCAGTTTTTTTTTTTTTTTGAAAGAAGTTAATACTTTTAACCAGCAAGGATGCATTAAATTCATCAAACAAGAAAGTAGAGACATTTATAATGTTACAAACGGTTGCTATTTTAAATAAATATCGCTCTTTTGAACTTTATATTCAAATAATCAGTGTATCAGTTTACACAAAAACATTGAGCAGCACAACTGTTTTCAATTTTGATAATATTAAGAAATGTTTCTTGAGCACCAACAGAGCACATTAGAATGAAGACTGGAGTAACAGCTGCTGAAAATTCAGCTTTACCATCACGGGAATAAATTACATTTTAAAATATAAGATAAAACATTTTATACAGTAAAAATATTACACAATATTAATTCTTTACTGCATTTTTCATCAAATAAATGCAGCCTTGGTGCACATAAGAGACTTACTTAAAAAATAATTTTAATTTTACCAACCCCAAATTTTTTAACAGTACTATTATCTGCATGCAATTTAATTTTTTTTCTTTGGAAAGTAGCCAACTTAATTTATTTATTTGGAAAGTAGCCATGTAATTATTGGAAAAATATAGTCAACCAATCATTATTGCAAAATAAACTATATCAAGATGATACAAGACCACACTGTTGTGTTTATTTATATCCAGTGATATGTCTGCCTGTACGGTATCAAGTAAAAAGATGAACATTTATATTATTTCATTTTTCTCCATGAGTTCCATTAAGCTATGTTAAATTGTTTTAGCAAAAAAATATTTTGTTATAGACTAAATTACTATTTTTCAAAATTTAATTCATGCGGGCTTTCTGATGCATAATTAATATGACCGGAGAATGACAATGTTTTACTCACCCGGTCCCCTGCCTGGCCCGAACGGCTCCTCAAATCCTGAAACACAGGAAAACATTTTTGTATATCATCATGATCATTAAAAAAAAAAAAAAAAAAAACAGTACAAAAACTGTATTTTTTAGTGAGCAATAATTCAGGTGTTTTTGATGCATTTCTTTGATCAGTATTAGAGGTTACAGCATATGATCCCATGCAAGCCTGCTTCATCTTTTCACAGCAGCATAATCTTGGGACATGTCAACCCAAAACACGTGCATCCAATATTGGCTGCTCGAAGCGTCGCTCTGGAGCTTATTACTGAGGATCTCATTATAGTAACAAGAGCACAGTGAAACAAACACATATGGGAGTCTTTATTAGGACAGGCTTTGAGTGACATCATCTGTGATCGGAGGTCTGTGGTGGACGCTTGGGTAGTCATGTCCAAGCCTGTCTATTTTCAAACACGACAACTCAAATCAAACCTGTCTGGGAAGCATTTAGGACGTTTATCTAGTTTATAGGAGAAATAAAGCAACCAGGGAAGGTCTTTCCACTCTGCAGCTGGGCGTATTAAAATGTGCTTGCGTGCAAATTAGTCAAGAAAGCCCTTAAATCAATCAACAGGCTTTTACATGTTTCAAATAGTCCCACATCAGGTCAAAGACTACACTTCAAGCTGTGCACTGACCCTTTGTACCATCTAGAGTCTGTGTGTGTGGGAGATCCCGCCAATGAGATTTCTCCAAGTGAAATGCAGACAGGTTTGGCAGACTGTCTATACCTGTGAACACCACTAGCATTAAACAATGTTGAGTTGATAAACTCCATCACGCATTATTATACATGTGTGTATAATAAGTATATACACTTCCATTCTAACCCCAAAATTTTGAACAGTAGTGTATATAAATCAAAACCAAAGAAATACTAAGTAGTGATTGAACAGGCATTTTGACTGAAGATATTTCATACTTTTCCCCTGCTGAGGCGGGAAAGGATGCACTTTGCCCCGCTCTGGTGAGTAGCTGCGGCTGCTTATGCTGGACCCCGACCGACTGTGAGGGGAAGGGGGGACGTCCCGCCGAGCTGGAGAGCGCTCGCGTACCGGAGGGAACGGCGCCTTTCTTCTCAAGTTGTCCCGCTCCTCCCTGTGAGAGAGATGAGCACAGATACACAAAGTTTTCTTGAGTATCTGTTCCCTAGTAGAATAACATGGGGCATTTTACTTTTAACATATCTGAATACAAACCCCCGGTCCAGGTTCATTATGGCCTGCATGAGGGTGTCATCTCCTGCATCAGGGGCTATTGTAGGCAGAGACCTGGGTGGAGGAGGGTGAGCACCCAGGACTCGAGCATTCGGGGGAGGACCTGCACGACTGCTCGGTCTGAGGCAGGAAAAGAAAAATAAGACAAATATTTGCATTCACATTATGGATAAGAAATATTAAGCATACTTTTTTTTCTCATTAAACATTTTTTAAACACTACACACAAAAAAAAATAATAGTAATAAAAAATTAATAAATAAGATGGCAAAAAAGTAAAAATCTAATTCAGCTTTGCAATCACAGGAATAATTCAATTTGAAAATATATTAAGACAGAAAAGAGAACTTATTGTAACAATATTTCACAATGTCACTTATTATTAAATATTTTTTTAAATATATACTAGACCAACATTGACAAAATTAAGCAAAATTAAGAAAAGCTAAATCAAAGCAAAAATGGTTTAATAAATGCAAAATAAGTAAAAAGTGTGGTTTAAATGGTTGTCTACAGTCCTCTGACAGGTTAAGAAGGGGGTTAAAGGGGGGACAATCTGTTAAACTTAAAACGCTTGTTTATATGAACCATGCCCTGTAGGGTCAGATGCTGAGTGTATTGAAATGAAGGAAGGGTCAAGGGAGAGGAGACGTGGTATTTCCACCGGCCTCAGGACTGTGACGGTCGTTGATCGTTGATCATCTTTTCATATGTATCATACACATATTTTCATAACACATATGACTGACTTTCTTATGGAAGACAAAACATTATATTTTGAAGGATGTTTTAATTGTTTCTGTCCATATTATGAAAATCGGTGAGGTTCAAAACAACATTGGACCAATGTATGAAAAAAAAAAAAAAAAAATTTAGCATTTTAATTTTTGGATGCAGTATCACTTGTTGTGTTAAAAGACTTTTATTGGTTAATAAATATTCAGAAAAGCAGGGACAGAATACATTCTGGTGCACTGGTCCTGATGACACCGAGGAGATTCTCTTAAACTAGTTTCCACACTGGGCTCTGCTTCATTGAAGACTTTACCCATTTGTGCAAGGACCAAGCCAGAGGCTTCACATCCTGCTTGTAAAAAGCAACTCAATATAAACTGCACAAAGAGGAGGGCAAAATGAGGCTTGTAAAAAGTTGCAGCACTGCCTAACAGAGCAGCACTGCGCAGCTCTGCCGAGTCTGCCCACAACCAAGACATTCATTAACACACATCTGTTCTAGCGGCAGTAAAACCCCCTTCAGTTTACTCTGCTCCCCCTCGACTCGCTTTACCTGCCAGGGCCCTCCGGTCGCGCAGGCCGATTACGTGCCACTTATACGGTCTGCCGCACAGGCGAGAGGGAGTACGTAAAAGAATCACAGGCACGGTGAGGCACCTGGTCCGAGTGACCCTGGCCTGAACCCCAGCCAGGTTCCCCTCTCACAAACACACACGACAATGTGTCCGCACACAGTGACCTCGCAAAACTTTAATGACCGTCACATCTGTTTGAAGTGCAGGTGACCCTGTCTGCCCTGGACTAACAGAGCAAATTACCACATGTCTGTCTTTACTGAAGCCAGGATATTACCCCAAGCCAAAAAAAGGTTAACCGCTCACTACCAATCACGACATATTAAAGCACTGAAAAGGTCAAAACAGGTACTTTAAAGCATGTTTGTTTAAAGCATATATATATAAACACGTAATGTTTCATTGTATGAAGAGTTTTGAATCCTTTGCAAATGTATTCTATTTCTACTTCAAGCAAAATGCCGCTTTCTTGTACAAATTCTTTGTGTGACAATTTTACCAATTAAGAAAACAATGATGTCACTCATTTAAAAGTTTTTAATGCTTCTTAGTAGGGGTGTACCAACACAAAGTTAATTTGGCTGCACTCCATTCCTGCTGCGAACTGTTGCATTTTTAATTACCAGAGAGGCAGATCAAGAGATATGGAAAACCACTGGGAAGCTCACTGTGCTCATCCATTTGGCAGAGTGACTGTCTGTGGGTATTTCCATGGGAGCTGAACCAAAAAAGCCAAACAGAGAATGTAGGACAACTCAGAGATTGATTTATGCTCCTTATTAACAAACTTTGTTTCTTGGCTTCCTTTCGTCTCTTACTCAAAGTATAAAAACAAGGCATTATAGCTGGAGGGTACGCAGCTTGTTTTCAGAAGGAACAGTTCTGCCATCTGCTGGGGAAATTACATGTGCTTCAATGGACATGTCCACCCTTGACTCCATTGCGTTCACACAGTGTATTAAGATCCCGAAATGTGTAATGTGGAAAGTGGATCCAAAATGTTTTAAGGCCACTCAAACCATGTTTGGAGGTTATCTAAAATGCATGTGACCACTTTGCATTTGTAACTTTTGCTAAATCTAATCTGAATACATGAATACAAGAGTGAGTTACTGCCTGTTACATGCCGCGTGTTTTGTTTTTCTCTTTTTCCCTCCCTCTTCCGTCTCTACCATTCTGCTCTCTAGTCTGTCGTCTTTGCTCTCAGGTCTCTGCTGGATTGAGGAGGCGGCTGTCGATCATCATTATTGGCGTCGTCTCTGCAGCCAATCCGGTGTCGCCCCGCTGGTTAAAAGTCTCTCAGCGTGCCGCGCTGAGTAGCTCAGTGTGTGTGTTCAGGTGTTTTGAGTTGAAACCTGTGTTTAGAGTTTGTATCCTTTCGTTGTGAATCATTTGAAATGTTTCGTTGTACTATCTAGATTCTGAGTTGAGCGTTGATAAGAGTTAACTGTTCTCTTCTTTTACTGGGGGAATGGGGAACAGGTTAGCGTATCGCGCGACCTAGGATACATACTGCCCTCAGCTAACAAGTGTTAGACACACTAGGTAAGAGGTGAGCGCCTCCTTTGTATTTTTTTGTTTGTAGTTAGTGTACAGTCATGGCCAAACGTTTTGGCAATGACAGAAATTTTGTGTTTTGCAAAGTTTGCAGCTTAAGTAAGCTGTTGTGGTGTTCATTCACATTGTTTCGCCGAAGATTTCGGGTTTGTTTTCTACATTTTTCTTTGGTTAGTTAGGCTAGAGCAGGGGTGCCCAAACTCGGTCCAGGAGGGCCGGTGTCCTGAAGAGTTTAGCTCCAGCTTGCCTCAACACACCTGCCTGGAAGTTTCTAGTATGCCTAGAAAGACCTTGATTAGCTGGTTCAGGTGTGTTTGATTAGGGTTGGAGCTAAACTCTGCAGGACACCGGCCCTCCAGGACCGAGTTTGGGCACCCCTGGGCTAGAGGGTTCTGAGAACTTAGTTTAGGAACTATTTTGGTTTTTATTTCTTTTGTTGATTTGGCGCCACCATCGTTCCACTTTTTTCCCCTTAGTTTAATGTATTCTTCTTACTTTAGTTTTTTTTTTTTTTACATCATGCATTGTATATAGCTCACACACTGTTTAGTGGCTTCGGCTTGAGGAAATTAAAACATTCAGTTGGGTTAAACGCTCTTTGTGCCTGGTTCTTTCTACTATCTCCACCATCACAGCAATATTAGTAACTAAATGTTGCGTTCCAACCCCTGGAACTTTAAAGTTCATAACACTGCCACTATTTCCAAAGAGTACAGAGAGAAAAGATGGCTTAATTTATCCAGAATACACCCATTACAAATGTAGGAATACATTGTTTCCTTTGTAACATTTTGAAGTTATGAAATACCTGAAGTCCATTTGGCGCCCACCATGCGGCTCCTCTCTCGGCCCTCTGTAGTATGGGAAGTCTTCTTGCTAAAGTGCAAAACAAAATTATATGATGAAGTGAGATATACAATTGCAATTGTTGAGCATTTTCCATATCTGATCTTTTTTCCCCTTCTTTTTTTTCTTTTTTTTTTTTAAACCTATTTCAAATCATTCAGGAGTGTACATATATAGTTGTATTGTATACCTAAAACAAACATACCTATAACTAACACAAATAACAAACAAAAAGTCAGGCAGACACAGTTTTACACATTAAGTATACATTGAAAAAAGAAACAAAAAAGTCATCAATAAATAAATAAAATAAAAATAGAAGACGACATATCTGAAAAACATAAGAAAAACACATCTGATCTCTAATACTTACCCTTCGCCCGGGTGGTCCACCCCTGTTCTCATTTGGAAATGAGAGATGGCTGTCTCCATGAAAACCTCTCTGATCCTCTCCATGGTAGTTGCGAGGAGCACCATTTGGGTAAAACCGAGAGCCATCATATTCAAAACCACGGCCGTAGTCCTCGTCTGGCCGCCCGAAGGGTGGTCTCCTGTCCCCTTGAGCTTCTCTTGGATATGGACCCTGGAAGATCAAAAAAGCTCAAGCACAGCCGTTTGTCTCGCAGCATAAACCAAATATCTGACTGTAGACCAACCCCCCCAATAAATAAATAAATAAAACAAAAAAATAAGAATAAATAAATAGTGTTTACCACTCTTCCTGCTGGAAACCGTTCCTCATAAATATCTCTAAGATTTCGTTCTCGCCTAAAAGTCACTGTGATATAAAAACATGGACAGAGATCGACTGTGAACCTCAGTAACCATATGGCACTTACACATGAATTATTACATCAAATGAAATGAAATTAAAACAAAATATATGACAACCATCAATAAATAACTCTGTAAATATTGCATAACACTGACAAAAAACACTTAATAAAAATGACAGTGATATCTTATTACAATTTAATAATATTTACATTTATAATAATATAAACATATTTTATAATATTTATACCATTTTAATCAGTCTTTAGCTTATTTCTCTAAATGACTTACTTTTAGTTTCTGAATGGAAAGCAGATGTCTTCAGTTGTATGATGGTTATCTATGAACAAATGAGAGGTAAATGAAACAGAAATAGGGATGTACCAATACCTATAGCTGGCAGATTATTTATGGCCCATAACCAATAATTATTGCTGATATATGCAGCTTTGTGTTCACAATAACTGAAGTAAAAGTCTTCAAAATAACTGAAAAGTCAAAGGCTTTATCACATTTTATTGTATAGAAGAAAACCCTACAATTTAGTACTTCTGTTCTGACTAATAGTAATAAACTGTTAAGAATATTTGTGGCTAGAGGGCGTTGTTAGGCACAACAGGTACAGCTCGCTCAAATACTGGATTGGCCCAGAACTAAACTAGACGTTTTATTATTTAACTGAAATAATATGGTTTTGTCTTTTATTATATTATCATCTACTTCCAATATTGTACTTATCGGACTGATACGTTAAAACGCTCACTGTAGTCGAAACTGTTTTTTTTAAGCTGTGCAAGAACCTTTGATTACATTTCAGCGTTGTTTGTGCTAAATTCAGTCAAAGAGGGATCAACTCCCATTTGTATGTATTTACGTTTTACCCATATGTGTGCATCTCCAGTCAACAAACTGATATGATATGCTAAACTAATTTAAACCAGACGCAGTAACGTTAACGTTAATACCGTCTTTTACCAGTGTGCATGCATACTGAAAACACATGCGTAACCCCAAAATAAGCGTTTACATACCGTTTACATTCGTTGCTTGACATACCTCCTGTCAATGTAACATTTTTTTTGTCTTTTGTAGCCAATTAACCTTTGTTAAATAATAATATTTTGAGGCGAAACGCTCAGCCAGTTGCTAAACAAACCTCCACAGCCACAATCAAAAACACAATGTTTCCGGGTTCAGACCAAATTTTTTTTTTCAAAAAAAAGCCACACAATCCTAATAAAATAACTGTAAAAAAAAACATTTGAGGCTAGTATTCACCGTATTTTCATTTTAAGACCTTTTCATGAGTCCCTTTGATTTATATAAGTAGCAATTAATTTTGTGAATTTGTTTTGTGACAGAGGGTGTTATGTTGTGACAACGGTCTCTCTTTATCTTCCGGGTCGCGCTGCGTTGATATTTTCAATCGGATTTACACGCTGGTTAAACGTACATTTGAATAAGTTCAGAGACGACAAATGCAGTTGTTGTCATTATGGTAAACATACTTTAAATCAATAAGATTCTGGCGATTAAGTAAGTCTGAAATGATTTTTTTATTTATGTTTCCCGTAAGCTCTTTTACTATCACATTTTGCTTATGAGTCTTTACATGTTTTGAAATATGTCATTTGTTCTTTTTCAGATATCAAAGATAAACATGAGTGGTGGTTTAGCGCCCAGCAAAAGCACTGTTTATGTGTCTAACATCCCATTCTCCTTGACTAACAGCGATTTGCACAAGGTACTCTGTTGTATGTCAAAATTAAATGTTTGACCATTTTTATTAGTTTTATATGGGGGAGTGGGTTAAGCCACTAATAAACAAAATACATGTCAAATATATTTCATATGTATATATCTTTTTTTTTTTTTCCTTTTTGACTTCTTACCCTGAAGCATCTGACACACTTTAAACTTTGATGGACTCTCTCTAAATATATGGTCACATAACAAATATTGTGCAAATACCTTAGAATAAGGGAGCAACACATCTTACCACACGTCCCTATATTACATTCTTTCATTACAGAATTTTTAAAGTAAATTTACAAATATTGTTAACCTGTATATATTTCTTGCAATTTTCCCACAGTTATGCTCGAAATATGGCAAGGTAGTGAAGTAAGTATCCTTTATTTTTGGGCTGCAATGGGTAGATTCTGTTATACCTCTATAATTCTATCAAAGTATAGCTTGATCATAGTCACAATATTATTTTCTGAAGGGTTACTGTTGTCAAAGACAAGCAGACACGGATGAGTAAGGGAGTGGCGTTTGTGCTGTTCCTAGACAGAGAGTCTGCTCATAATTGCGCCCGATCGCTAAACAACAAAACGGTATGATGGTTTAACATGACATTAAGTTAAAAAAAAAAGTACACATGAAGCCAAAGTGTTTGATTGCTCTTGAACTCTTTCAGTTGTTTGGGAGAACGGTGAAGGCCAGCATCGCCATCGACAATGGCAGAGCTACAGAATTCATCAGAAGGAGGAACTACTCAGACAAATCCAAATGTTATGAATGTGGGGTAAGTTTTCATTCATAATATGTAGGGTTATTCAATGATAATATGTTGAAATGTGTTGGTGGTCATGTATTAAATCTTACACTGTGATATTGCTAATGTGTAGATTATATTGCTTATACATTTTTGAGGTCATGTTATTTGTCTCCGCCAGGAAGAAGGGCACTTGAGTTACGCTTGTCCTAAAAATTTACTTGGAGAGAGAGATCCTCCACCTAAAAAAGAAAAGAAAAAGAAGAAAAAGGTGCAGCAGCCTGAGGAGCCGTAAGCAGTTCTTAATAGAATAAAAAGGGGTCCTATTATGCTTTTTCACTTTTTCAACTTTAGTTAGTCTGTAATGTTGCTGTTTGAGCATAAAAAAGATCTGCAAAGTTACAAAGTCCACTTCAAAAGGAGATATTTTATTTAACAGAAATCACTTTTCAAAAACTACAATGAACGACTCGTTTGGACTACAACGCATATTTTCCGGGATTTATGATATCACAAATATCGACGAATGGGACGAGACCTGGTTGAGCTGCACTAGAGAAGGCAACGAGTGTTATCACTATGTCGGAGACACGCTAGCTTTCCCAAGGCAGACGAACTTAGAGTGGTTACAATCATCCGGGTTTAAATCGAGCTCAAATTGATTTGATTTTGACGCAATATTTACACTGAAGCTCACAGGCGGCTATGGTAAGGGGCATGACATTTCCCGACCAGGCGCCGAGTGCTGCCAATCACAACACACACTGGCCCAGCTAACCAATCACAACACATTACGTATTTCAGAAGGCGGGCCTTCATTTGATACAGGAACTATTCGAGCCGTTCATGCCAGACTGGGGAGAGAGGTGTTGTAATAATGTAAAATATGTGAAAAATAATGTTTTTCGAACAACCTAGTATGAGAGCCTATTCTAGTACACCCCCAAAACAAAATCAAGACTTTGTAAAAGAGCATAATAGGGACCCCTTTAATAATTCAAACTCTGTACTTATTTAACGCATTTAATGGAATACATCATCCAAATATGAAATTTGCTGAAAAGTTACTCACCAACAGGCCATCCAAGATGTAGATGAGATTGTTTCTTCATCTGAAAAAATTTGGAGAAATTTAGCATTACATCACTTGCTCATCAATGGATCCTCTGGAGTGAATGGGTGCCGTCAGAGTTCAAACTGCTGAAAAAAACAACACCATAATCCACAAGTAATCAACATGTCTCCAGTCCATCAATTAACATCTTATGAAGTGAAAAGCTGCGTGCTTGTAATAAACAAATGTATCATTATGATGTTAAACTCTTGCTTTCAGCTAAAATAAATGAGTTTTCTATCCATAACATTGCCTTCTCCAGTGAAAAAGTCGTCTCATCTGAATTAGGGGAGAAAAATGCACAGATCAAGCACCGTTCACAAGAGAAAACAGTCCACACAGTTCTAAACAAATATATTGGTGGATTTTGATGTAACAGGACAACATGGACTTTTTCACTGGATGAAGCATTTTTATGCATTATGAACTTGTATTTTTGTGTGTGTTTATTACAGTCATGCAGCTTTTCACTTCACAAGACCTTACATTGTTAGACAGGAGTCATGTGGATTACTTGTGGAAAATTGTTATGTTTTTATCAGCTGCTTGGACTCTCATTCTGATGGCACCCATTCACTGCAGAGGATGCATTGGTGAGCAAGTGATGTACATTTCTCAACGTGTTACGATGAAGAAACAAACTTGTCTACATCTTGGATGGCCTGAGGGTGAGTAATATTAAAGCAAATTTTCATTTTTTGGGTGAACTGTTCCTTGAATCTTTTATATGTAGGAAATTGCAAATAATATAAGTGAATACATATTCTGCTTTTGTTCTTTCAGAGAACCAGAGGACAGTGAGGAAGAAGGAGAGGATCCAGCACTGGACAGTTTAAGTCAGGCAATTGCTTTCCAGGTCAGTGAATATTATATACTCTACAGTTCAGTCATCATACATTAATATTCCTAGTAAAATAGGGTTCAAAGAGAAAAATACATTTTTGCCTATCATCATCAGCAAGCACGCATTGAGGAGGAGGAGAAGAGAAGGAAGCAGGTCACAGAGGATGTGTCTCAAGCATCTACATCAGAGGACACCCACAAACCCAAGATCAAAAAGAGCGCCTACTTCAGTGACGAGGAGGAGCTCAGTGACTGACTCATACTTCTATGTGCTCGGAACACATCGCCTCTTCTCAACCACTCTTACCTATTAAGAAGGTCACATATTGATCTGAATTTCTAATTTTGTCAAACTATGTTACAGAAAGTCAGAAAAAAAAAACACTTCTTACCTTCATCTGAGATGTTTGTTATCATTGTATGCTCCTCATTCAGATAATTACAAATATTGGGTATGTAGTATTGGCATTTAAAGATCCTGCAGAAAAGTTCTGTAAATTATTATTTTTTTTAATCTTGTAAATAAAGTGTAGTTTTGTGTATTTCACAATTACATTCTTGTTATTGTTCCAGGAAGCATGGAAAATAAACTGTTTTAAAATAACTTCCTGTCACCTTTGTCCTCAGTTCTCATTTTTTCACCCACTGATATAAGTCAAAGTTATGAAAGTTCAATATACAAGTGTTTGCATTCTCAGTGAGAAAGACCTCAAAAACTACAGCATATTTGAAATACATTTTTTTTTTTGCTTCATATCATTAGCAAATGTATGTGTGAAATGTATGCACATTTCTACGATACAAATTAAAATGTGTAAAATAAGATTTTGGCCTGTCCCAAGTCAAAGATCTTGTTCTTCTTGACTGATATCTGATGGTATAACGGTTGATCTGTTATCTAAAACCTGAGTGCATCAGTCAATCTCAACAATTCAGCTCTGTTATACGTGTTATTATAAGAAAAAAAATCTAGCAAATATTCTTCTGGAAGTAGAAAAATGGGAAATATTTCCAACAACAATATTTGGTCCCAATTGTGTAACAGCTTAATGTAGGCTGAAATTGCAACCCTGTTAACCATTCTGTTTGTTTCTTTGTTTTGTATTGTTAGTTTATTTAAATTTTGATGTTTGTTGTTAAAAAATAGCAAACAAAACAATCACACAAATCAAGGTTTTAAGCTGCATTTAGACCCAAAGTTTGGTAACAGTACGGAAAATAAATAGAAAACAAAACAGCTCATATAAAAAGTTGTCACATGCCATTTGCTGAAACAGAAAAACAACTTTTTAGAGTTTAGGCACTACCCTTACAAAAACCATGGTTTTACTATAGTGTAACCATGTTTTTTTTGGCGTATTGATTGCCATTTGTATGACCACAGTTTTACTACAAATACCATGGTTAAACTATGATTAGTGTAGCAAAACTATGGCAAATTTGTAGTCACCACAGTTTAACTATAGTAAGTAACCATGTTTTTTTGGCTTTATTTGTGGCAAAACCATGGTAAAATCTTCGTAAAGGCATGTTGTACCCTATTTGTGGAAGTGCCATTTGTATGACCACAGTTTTACTACAAATACCATGGTTAAACTATGATTACCATTTGTATAGTCACAGTTTTACTATAAATACCATGTTTAAACTATGATTAGTGTAGCAAAACGATGGCAAATTTGTAGTCATCACAGTAACTATAGTAAGTAACCATGGTTTTTTGGCTT